ACCTTATTTTTCTACTCCTACTATACCTTTTGAGGGTCCTATTGAATTGCCTCCGATGTCTGACCCATTTCCACTTCTGGCTCCAGTTCCGTTGTCCTTTATTCCTCAGCTGTCCATAACTCCAAGAGCATATCCTCGCACACCCTTTCATGTTTACACTCATCAATTAAGGCCACCTGCTTCAGCTCTACCATCGATTTCCTCGTCATCTTCAGGTCTAAGCTCCTTAAATGTGTTTGATTATCTATCTGTTGCTCTCTCTAAGGGTACTCGTTCATATGTTACCATTATATCACTAACTACATTTCATCTCATTTTTTATCACCTTTATTTTCCTGTTTTACATCTCAATTATCCAATATATCTGCTCCTAAGATTTTAGTGCCTTACTGGATTCAAGTTGACGAATAACTATAAAGGACAAGATGAATGCTCGCCATTATAATTATAGTTGAGATCTTGTCTTAACTACCTCCTCATAAGTAGGTTGTTGTGTATATACCATCAAATTTCTTCTGGATGGATCTATAGATCGCCTCAAAGCTTGCTTAGTTGTCAAAGGATATACCCAAACCTATAGCTAAGGGTATTCACCCTACCCTACGGGTAGCAAATATAGTCTTCCGCCTTTCTACCCGATATTTTGCGAAAAAATTTTTCTTATCCTACCCTACCCGATCAGGTGTGGTATTCCTATCCGACTTCCTACCTGATTAATCGGGTAGGAAGTCGGATAGGAAATCGGGTAAACACTTTTATAGCTATTAATTTTTGGATCATTTTAACAATTCAACTAAATAACATACATCAATTTAACAAAACAATAAATCAATAACACTAAAACCTAAAATAACTACAACAACAATTATAATAAAACACAAGAAATCATGAATATCAATCTATCATAATTGTTACACAAATACAATAATAATTATTTTAAGTTTAAACTATATGAAACACATTAAAATTATAATTGCTCAAATAGATTATTAGTTCACTACAAATCATGTAACCTACACAAAAAACAAGTCCATGCTTTAGCAACTCAAGCATCCACAACAACGATAATGTTATAATATAAATTATACCACACAAATACTCTTATAATTATTAAAAAAAATATAAAAAAATTAAATATATTTTTTGCGGGTAGGGTAGGGTAAGATTGCAAAAATTGCTGAGTATTCCGCATTCCTACCCGATTTAATCGGAAGAAAACTAAAAACTCTTCCACATTCCTATCCAATTTGTGTGGCTAACCGTTCAGTAAGGAAGGGTAGAGTCAGGTAGGGTAGGAAATTGCGGCCAATCAAAAATTTGAACACCTCTACCTATGGCATTGTCTATGCGGAGACCTTGTCAAAGCTTGCTTAGTTGTGAAATGATTTTTTATTTTGCTTGCTGCTAATCTTGACTGACCCTTATTTCAATTAGATGTCAAGAATGTTTTCCTACATAGTGATCCAACAGAGGAGGTTTACATGGATCAACCACCTACGTTTCATGTTGAGGGAGAGTAATAGGATCGTGTGCAAACTGAAAGCTTTGCATGAGCTGAAACAATCTCAGCGCATGGTTTGGAAAGCTTTTAGATGCAATGCTAGATTTTGGTGGTCATAGATGCCAAATAGATCACTGAGCATTTCATTTATGAACTGGTGTAGGTAATATCCTTCTTGTTGCTTATGTCAATGATATTGTGATTACAGGTAATGATTTTGTGGGTATTGCCAATACAAAATAGTTTTTACAATATCGGTTTTATACCAAAGATTTAGGTAAACTTAAATACTTTATTGGTATCGAAGTTGCTAGATCTAAGCAGACATTAACATGTCCCACAGAAAATATGTACTTGATTTTTTTTAAGAAACATGGCTTTTAGGTGATTGACCAGTTAACATCCCCATGAATCCAAATCATAAACTCTTAGATGAAAAATTGAATTATCTCACTATTACTCGACCAGATATCTCATATGCAGTGAGTGTGGTTAGTCAGCTTTTGGAGACTCCTCAAGTGCTACATTGGGATGTAATTATTCATATTATTTGCTATCTCAAGTGATCTCCCAGACTTGGATTGTTGTATCAATCGCATGAGTATCTTCTGTTGGAAAGGTTCAAAGATGTAGATTGGGTAAGGTCTCCTTCAAATAGATGATCTACTAAAGGATATTATACCTTTTTGGGAGGTAAACTAGTTACATGGAAAAGTAAGTTGATAATGACAGCACGATCCAGTGTTAAGACTAAATACTGGGCAATGGCTAACAAGTATAGTGAGTTAACATGGCTACAATACTTCCTTCTGGAAATTAGTTTTCCAACTTAAAAACCACTTTAGTTGTTCTTTGATAATCAAGTGGCTATTCATATAGCTTCTAATTCTGTGTTTCATAAACGAACGAAACACATTAAGGTTGATTACCACTTCGTTTGAGAAAAAGTGTTGCGTGAAGACATTATCGCACCATTTGTCAAGTCTGAGGATAAACTTGTAGATATGTTTACTAAGTCCTTGAGTAGTACTCGGTTGAGAGATACTTATTCCAAGCTACGATTATATGATATATATTTGTCAGCTAAATTGGGAGTTTTGTTTATATATATATTTATATAGATATATATGTATATGTAAGAATGAAACTCTTGTAATAAGTATACCTCAAGTTGTGTTTGTATTAAAGTATAAACAGCATCTTCTTGAGTAATTATACTTCTATCTTCAGCTGTTATAGTTTTTACTGCATTTAGAATTTCATGTTTTAGATTTAAACTTAAATAGTTATCCCACCAGCCTCTTAAATCCTATTGTTATAAATTTAGCAGTAGTATGGTCTGAATTACGATTCGCCTTACATATAAAGCGTACATTAAAATTTTATGTAAAACTTGATGAATTAAATATTCTGACATACCATCAATATAATTAAAAATTTTCAGCATAAATGGAAAACATCGGATGGTAAAAATATCAATAGTTTTTATCCTCTAACAAATAAAGCCGTAAAGCTAGCTTCAAATTCAATTGAGTTAGGTGAAATAATAATGAATGCTTGTTATTCTCTAAAAGACAATCATGACATAGGGAGAAATATCTCTATCAAACAAAATAACTACACCAATGTTTGTCTACAAATGGTAGGACAACACTTGAGTAGAATTGAGAATTTAATAAAAGAACAAAAACAAGAAGCTTTGTCTTCTCAATCTTTAAAAGAAAAATCGGTTGAAATTGAAAAGGTAAGAGAAGATATGTACAAGCTTTATTTACAGAGTGATAGTAGACTTCTCAAGTGTTGTCTTACCACTTGTAGACAAACATTGGTGTAGTTATTTTATTTGACGGAGATATTTCTCCCTATGTCATTCTTATCTTTTAGAGAATAACAAGCAGTCATTATTATTTCACCTACACTTCATTTGAACTTGAAGCTAGCTTTATACTTTCATTTATTTGAGGATAAAAACTATTGATATTTTTATCATCCAATATTTTTCATTTATGCCGAAATTTTTCAATTACATTTAATTGATCCATTGTAGGTGGAGCATAGGAGGTTAAAACCCATTTAACAAAAGGAATTACCCTTTTTTCCTTTTCTATATAAATGTAAAACATTTCTTTAAGATCTTCTTGATTCATAATCTTAAAATACCAAGCTCTAAATTCTTTATATTTAGAAAAATAAAATTCTTCATTAATTTGTTTTTTATATATTATAAATTCTTTTGGATTTAAATTCATAAAATCTATAATTGAAATCCGATTTCGGATGGAGTTGGATCTCGATCTTCCTCTAAGAAAGATTCATTATCTTGCCTATAAATTCCACGAGGAATTTGATTACGTGAGGTTCTAATTTCCTCAATTATAGGTTATTTTCCCCTTCTTCTCTCTGGTATAGAAGAAGTGGATCTCCTACTGGGAGTATTACATACTGACGAAATGCTTGATAGGTAAGAGATTTTTAATCCTGAAATATTATTTCTAGCAAATCTTATCATTACATCACACTAAGGTAATTGGGCGATAAGACTTTGTATGAGAAATTTTTAGCAAAAGTTCTGGATGCATCAGTTTCAACAATCTTAGAGGAATTTTCATATTATTTCAAAGTTGAAGATGAGTTCATAAATGAACTTAAAAAAAAATTAAAAAATTTGTTATTAAATGTAATTTCACAGACAGAAAACGTAGAACAATCTGAAACTAAAATACAACAATTTGAAGATTCTTTACACAACATGCAATCTAAAGAAATAAATAAAATTGGGTATTCTAAACCGAAAAGGCAAACTAACACGTATTCTCAAGCACCCCCTATGAGGACTTATTATCAACGATCAACCCCTCAAGATATTTTGTATGAGAAAAACTTTTTTATAGATAAGAAGAAATATTCTCAAGCACCCCCTATGAGCGCTTATTATCAATATGATCAACCCCTCAAGATATTTTGTATGAGAAAAACTTTTTTATTGATAGGGAGAAATATCTCTATTAAACAAAATAACTACATCAATGTTTGTCTACTTTGTCAAGAAAATATGCTACCATTTGGGAACTTTTTTTCAGCGAGAAAAACAATAAGTGGTTTTAAGATAGAAAAATGGATATTGCGTTATTGCATATTTGTTAAAGAAGGTATCAATTAAGGATCCATCGCTAACACACGCACACGCACACGCACAAGCACAAAGAAACTGGGTGAATTGTACCCATTATATCAAACACAACTATTGGTCCACAAGTTTTTCACAACTCTAATTCTAATTACTAAGCAAATTGATGTTACTTACATATTTTTGTTTACATCCTTTTAACTTATATGCTTCTCATTACAATCCGTTTATTATGATTTTGGAATCAATTAATTTTGTCCCTTAGTAGAACGTATAACTTCACCATAATCTACTTGAAATTCTTTGAAACACTAGAAACTTGCCCAATGCATGTACCTGAACCATAAATAGAATCAATCTTTGTCAAACCTCTTAATTATCTTCCACTGACCTATCTAAATGCTCCTCAAGCTTAAATATCTTTCCATTGTAAATTCGAAGTCCCTCCCAAACAGAATCTCCACCTTGGACAACCGAGTCAAACACTGAAACCTTAAAAAGGTAAAAGAGTAACATGAGAACACAAAATTTAGAACATATCAAAATACAAAATTAATACTTCAATTCTTGTTCAAAATTATTCAAAACATACACTCTTCAAAGTTGCATAAAAGGTACCTTAGCACTCTCACGGGGTACAATCTCGTCACTAACCCAAACAAGCAGCTTCTCGTTTGCAGGAACAGGAAGAGTAGGACGAGGGAGAGGGGACTTCAAAATACACGAAGTCTCTCTTGCATGGCGCCTAAGCATGTTGTAGAATGGTAAATTTTGCTCCAGCAAGTCATACAAGGAAGAGGGAAAAGCCTAGAAAAGCAAAATTAAAAGAGGGGTAAAGCATAAGCCAAATCTAGTGATGCAATTCTGATGTATCTGAAAACTTCTATTACACTTGCAAAGAAGAGATAGAAAGAGACAAAAGAAATTCATATGCAACTCTCTAATATTTCAAAATAGTAAAAACCAGGTACAAGAGACTATACATAAAACCTTACTACAAGAGAAAGACTAGAATACCCCTAATGATAAATAAACATAAATAATAAATAAAAATACAATCTTAACACCCCCTCCCCCCTCAAACTCATGATGTGAGAATAGAAAGCATCGAGAGTTTGTCAAGAAGAAAACAAAAACAAAACATAGCGTGCAACTTCGTGAAAAAGTGAGCCAATTTCATAGTACTGTAGCAGAAGAGCAAAAGGTAAGGAAATAGTCTCAAGTTAAAGATGGAGGCGCACAAAATGACAATCAATCTCAATATACTTGGTCTGCTCGTCGAAAATAGAATTATGTACAATATGAATAGCACTCTTATTGCCACAATACATAGAAGTAGGAGCAGAAAAAAAAAAACACCTAGATTGACAAATAATCATCTCAACCATACTATCTCTAACATAAAAGAAGTCATACCATGATATTCATCCTCAACAGTAGCACGAGCGATAACAATCTGTTTCTTACTTCTCTAAGATATTAGGGAATCACTTAGAGACATAGAAACCAATTATGGTGTTAGAGTTCTTATTTATACTATTAGTAGTGTAGGGTAATATTGTAATTTCTCTACTGTTAATTTATTATAAATAAGAAAGTGTAAGGCAACATAGATTACAAACTGATTATTCCTTCCTTTTTCTTTGTCTCTTCTCTCTTAACCTTAACATCACTTTTCTATTCTAACTTGGTATAAGAGCAATAATCTGAGACAAAATATCATTGGAAGAACATTGTGAAAAACATCGAAAAATCTTTGTCATTAACATCAGCAACAGCCAGCCGCCAGAAGTTACTGGGTGGGTCGACTCTTTAAGAGGATTCTTCTAGTGATTTTTGCCAAATTTTTTGAAGTCATCCAAGTAGGTTTTCCTATTTTTGAATATTTTTGGGATAAAAGGCCTAGGTTTTAAGATTTGTAAATTTTGCCCCTTTCTTTGGTTTGGTTGGTCGTGTCTAGCACTTAGGGTTCCAATTTGGCCTTGGGGAGAGTTTCATGAGTTGCCCAGTCATCTAGAGCATGTTTGAAGCTATTTTTGGTGAAGGGTTGCCGACTTCCTATGTATTGGCCAGAACAGCGGCAAAATTGTTCCTTGGCTGTGATTTGTTATGGTTTTATGCTTGTGTTGGTATAGAGGTTGATTATGAGGTCTGATCCCCTAGTGTGAGTCTGTGGCTGCTCCAAGAGGTTGGGTTGTGGTGAAAGACGATGAACAGTGATCATCTGACTTGAATTTTTTTTTTCAGTTGATTTTCTAGTGCCCAGGCACTTTGGCAGTGTGGTGTTCTGGTTGTTTGTCACAATTCTTCCTTAATTTGGCCCCTTAAATTTGTGTTGATTGAATTTGAGGTGTTGTGTTGAGTTATAATTCATATGTGGATTTCCAATGGTGTGTTTGAATAGTGGTTGTTATTCACCCTATAATGTTAGTCGTGGAGGTCTATCCACAGGACATAGTGGATGTGGTGGTTCGGTTGCTTCTGGTTCTAGCTTTCATGATGATCTTTCTTCTCTGCTTACACAACTTATTCACAAGTTGTCTTCACTCTCTTCAAATTTGTCTGCTTCTATTACCACTGATACTAATTGAGGTACCACAACTTGCCTGACTCAGCCTTCTTCGTCTTCTTGGATCATTGATTCAAGAGTTAGTTCTTATATGTCTGATATGTCGTCCTTATTCTCTAATTTTCGTGCATCAAACTCATGTATTGTGTTAGGTGATGGTTCTTTTCGACCGATACATAGAACTGCCGATCTCAGTCATACTTAGTCCTTGCCATTATTTGATGGTTTGTTCGTTCCTAATTTTCCTTTTAATTTGTTATTTGTGAGTCAGTCAAGGGTCTAAATGTCGTGTCGAAACGTCCAAAACATTTTGGAATTTCAACACACCGATACGAAACATGGGTTGAATCCCAAAATTCTAGAGTTTCGGTCGAAACAGTACAATTTCGACGAAACAGTGATCACAAAAAGCTAAAGATTCGCTTCACTCCAGCCCAAAAGAAAAAAAAAACTCCGAGAAAGCTAACTATTCCGCAAGCAAGTCAGAATTCACAGGTCCTCTAAGCTCAGAAATCACATGTCGTTCAGGCCTTTCAAGCAAAAAAAAAAAACAAAGAGAAGAGAGAGAAAGACAATCGAAGAGGCAAACTATAGGCCAGAAATTGAAGGAGAAAGATTCAATAACTTACCCCCTTGAGCAGATCCAACCATTTTTCACCAGATCTAGGGCTTGGGAGTTGTCTTCATCGCTGCAAGCTACCATCGACCACGAGCAACCACCGGTATGTTCTTATTCTTCTTCTTCTCTCTCTCTCTCTCTCTCTCTAGGGCATCGCAAGTCGCCCATTGCCAATTGCCTCCTCTCTGTCGCCTCTCGTCTCTCAGACAGAGTTGTTGTGGGTCTATTATGCGTTTGTTGCCTTTTATATATATATATATATTTTTGATAAGTTTGAATAATTATATTTAATACCCCTCTAATTACATTTAATACCCTCTTGTAATTACATTTAATAATTAACACCCACTGTAATTATATTAATACCCTATTGTAATTACATTTAATAGTTAATATCCACTGTAATTATATTTAATACCCTATTGTAATTACATTTAATACCCTCTTGTAATTAAATTTAATAGTTAATACCCACTACAATTACATTTAATAGTTAATACCCACTGCATTTACATTTAATACCCCACTGTAATTACATTTAATAGTTAATATCCCACTACAATTACATTTAATAGTTAATATCCCACTGCAATTACATTTAATACCTGTTACATTATTATATTTTAATTTAAAAGTATTATACATGTCATTTTTAACTTATAGAATGAATATAATGTGTTTGATAATGTAATGACATTTATTGTAGATATGACATCAAAGGGGAAGAATGTGGTTACTGAATCATCGCAAAAAAAGAAAATAGAACGATGTATGAGCCTACTCGACACTCCACAGAAGGATAGATGTACTCATGTAAGTATGTACTCATTAGCATTTCATGTGTATTATGAGACCTTAATATTATGTAAAAATGTATTTATTTGATAAAAATTAAGTGTTTGAAACTAATTTAAGTAATTTTCGCCTCATGTCAAGCCTTTTTTTTCCTCCAATTTAAATTTATTCTTGTATAAATGGATGTTAACCCAATAAACATATTGAATTAATCAATTATTTAGCTTATCTTTATAAATTAATAGATTGTATTTGTGTTTTCATGCGTTTCCATATTCTTTCTGCGTTTCCGAAATATTTTCGTTTTTGAGCTGACCGAAACGGTACTTCGAAACAAAATTTCGATCCTTGGAGTCAATTAACCAACTCCTTACAGTGTTCAGTAACCTCTTCATCTTCTTGTATTTTCAAGATCTCAAGACGAAAAAGGTGATTTGTATGGAATATGAGTGCAATGGCCTTTAGACCGAGAAAGTTCCTTTTTTGCCTTAGGTGCAACTGCGTCTCCTCTCCAGTAGCATTTTTGCCTAGGTCATCCTTCATTGCAAAAATTGAGTCAAGTCATCCCTAGTTTGAGTTCCTCTTCTGTGTTAGACTGCGAAGCTTGTCAACTAGTTAAGCATCACCGTAGTTCCTTTCCTCCTAGCTCTTCAATTCGTCAGTCTAGTCCTTTTCATGTTGTTCATGCAGACATTTGGGGTCCAACGAGAGTTGAAAGTCTTTTTGGTTTTCAGTATTTTGTGATATTTGTTGATGATTTCTCTCGTATGACTTGGTTTTTTCTTATGAAAGACCAATCTGAGTTACCCAAGGTCTTTACCACCTTTTATAATGAAATTCTGACTCAGTTTAATGTTCGTATTAAAATACTTGAGTCTGACAATGCCCTTGAGTATACACAATCATTTATAAAAATCTTTTGTACTGGACGTGACATTATCCATCAAACTACCTATCCTCATACCTCCCAACAAAATGATGCCAAACATAAGCATCACCATTTGTTAGATGTTGCCCACACCTTAAAAATTAACATGCATATGCTAAAATCATATTGGGTTGATGATGTTCTTGCTTTAGTTTATCTTATTAATCGTATACCTTATTCCATTTTAGACAACAAATCTTCCTTCTCATTGCTTTATCTTCATAAACTGTCATTTGGTCTCACTCCTCGTGTCTTTAGTTGTGTTGCATTTGTTCATCTCCTTGATTTGGATAGGAATAAACTTTCGCCTCGCTCGGTTAAGTATGTTGTTTTTTTTGGGATATTCTCGTACTCAAAAAGATTATCATTACTATGACCCTGTTTCTCGTCAATACTATGTAAGTGTTGATGTTAACTTTTTTGAGTTATCCTCTTTTTCTGTATCAGGTGATGCACTTTCTTCAAATTTAGTTTTTCCCAGTCAAGGGAGCCTTTGTTGCCTATTGTGCCAGATTGTGTATCTTCTTCCTTCCCAACTCCTCCCTTGCAAGTTTATCATCGTTCCAAAGATAGATAAGTTATTCCATATGCTCCAGCTCCACAGTCATCACCTTATTCTATTGACATCTTGCCTCCTCAGTCGTTCGGCAGTTTATCATCTCCTGATTTGCCTATTGCATCGAGGAAAGGTACCCGTAATTGTACAAAACATCTTATTTCTAATTTTGTTTCTATGCATCGGCTTTCACAATCCTTTCGTTATTTTGTATCAACTCTAACTGCGGTATTTGTTCCTAATTCTTTGAAACAGGCATTGGCATCTATTGGTTGGAAAATTGGCT